GAGAGAGAGAGAGAGAGAGAGCCTGCTCACATGAGCATGAGCAGGAGCATGTGCACGAGCGTGCATCACACATACATGAAAAGTTTATTTTATCATTGAGCCCTTTAATAAATGTTTTAAGTTAAGCACCTATAGAAACAGTTGATTTCAATTTGGGGGAAAAAGTGCCTGCGTGGGGGGGGGTTACTTTGACGCTATATCGCATAGACAAACGCAGGCCGAATGGTATTCAATATCTTTTTAGGAAAGTGGAAGTACTTGAAGACTTGCAGATGTAGCAGCGAGCTCAGAACAGAAATCAGATGCCCACTTGTCAAAGTAGGTTTGATCAGATCGGGTCGTGTCGTGTCGAGTCGGATAGAGGAGCTGGCCCCAACACATATCGTAATATAATGATCCAACCTTTCGATTCAAAAGAATGCTTTCATTCTCGGTCCATGTAATTTTATTAAACCTACGGAAAAAAAGTACGTTTCAGCTCTCAATTTGAAACTTACTTATATAGGACGCACACCCGCGGTTTCCACTGACTGTGGGACGATATTTGTGTCGTGATGATGCTCAGGGGCGTGAGGTGGGGCCCTTTTATTTTAACTAATTAAAAGAATGAGAGGTAAAAAATATACACATAGTGTGCTTATTAATTATAATACATTAATATTTCAACAAGTGGAAGCTGGAAACAGGGAAGATAACTGCGAAATAAAAATCCTTCGTGGCATATAGGCTTATGATTATGTCCCTTCTAGACAACAGGATCGCTGAGAGTCCGTCAAATTAATAGAGCAGTTAATAAAAATTACCCGAACAAACAGAACACTGCAAAGAGCTTAGGAACTGTTTAGAGTAGTGTTTATTTAATCAGTTGAAATATTTTTTTGGCATTGAGCAACAAATAAAAACTGCAGCATCCCCGCCAAACCTTTGCCGAGCTCACAATTCTCAAATGCCCTGCATTGACAGCATATCAAAACAAAATTTCTATAAGCTTACAAAGTGTATGTCGGCGGGGGGTGGGGTGGGGGGGGGGGATCAGGCCCTCGTTAATTTTTGGGCATATGGAGTTATTGACATCATCTTAAAATGTGTTAATTTGCCTTGATTTTCTTCAATAACCAACAACCCCAATCTGTCTTGAATAGAAAGCCAGATATTTTTGTTTGAAGGAGGTGGGAGTCGCCTGGAGTCAGAGAAAATAAAGGCGAGAAATAGGCCGCCAAAGTTTTGTGACTTCCAAAGCTTGAGAGTACCTGGGAACTGCAATTTTACGTTTAAAAAAAATTCTTTTAGTGTTATTGACCGACGTGTTAAAGTACAATCCACGCAGAAGTAAAAACGAAAGTGGCTAGAAATTGCCAAACGAGCGGAAAATTTTGTTTTTTCCGATTTCATTATTTTGATGAGTACCTGATTGCACCACACTGCAACACAAGGTATAAAATAAAACACATATACGACAGCTCAAAGATAGTGTTTCTTTGTAAAGATTGGCTGGCTGTTATTACAGGCTTACATAAAAAACAACAACCCCACAACAAATAAAATATGACAGATCAAGGATAGCGTTTTAAAAAATAAAGATAGGCTTCTCCTTTTTTTTATTGTGGTTGCGTGGTATACTAGGATTCAGAAAGGTGATAGAGATCGGTCTAAAATTCTCCACTATATTAATAAAACCAGAAACAACCTTCGGTATACAGAGGAAAAAAACCCAACAACATCGCCCCCCCCCCCAAAAAAAAAATTTAAAAAAAATTAAAAATAAAAAAAGAAATAAAGGGGAAAAAATCCCTGCAAGCCCACAGTACTTTATTACTACTTAGCCCATAGTGCATGCTGGATTTTGATCTTTCATTGAGGGTCCAAAGAACAAATCCTGTAGTATGGTTTTAGAACAAATTAAAAGTTAACGTATTTCCTCCTGTTACAACATACTCTCAAATACCCCCACCCCACTTTTCCTCCCTTTATAAAAATCAAACGAAAATGGTATTTCAAACTAGCACTCTTTCTTTTACTTGATTAATTGATTTTACTTTCAAGAAAAAGCTACCCC